CTGAGCAGACAGCCCTGAGCCTGCTCTGAGCCTCCAGCCCAGCAATGCCACGAGCTGGTGCAACGTACTTGCAGGCCCAGGGGTTGCCTTGTGGAAGGGAAATATCGGAAACCACAGAGGGTGACCTTTCGCTTGGTGAAATTCCTTCTGGTCACAGCTGGAAGTGGGGATTTGAAAGTGAAGGAAGGAACAGTGCTTGCAGAAGTGGGCTGTCCTGCAGCAAGAGGGGGGTGTTGGGCTCTGCAAGCTCATAGAGTTGGAAGGGACCCACAAGGATCATCAAGTCCAGCTCCTGGATGGACACAGGACCACCCAAAAATCAGACCACACGTCCTAGAGAATAGCAGAATATAGAGACCATACGTCTGAACTCAGTGCAGGCCTTCCCCAGACAGCTTCCAGGCTGGTTAGGAAGGAAAGAGAGGAGAAGGTATGGATGGAGGCTTTGCCTCCCCACACAGCAGCATGGAGGTGTGGAGAGGCTGATTCAGTCTGTCAGGAAACCCTTAGTCCTCATTTGCTGGAGACTTCACAGACACTGGAGGATCCCTCCTGTTGGTGATGGATTTATATGCTGACACCATGACCAGAAGATGAATAGCCTGCAGGTCTGCAACCCTGTTTGATGGCAGGATCCATGGCAGCTGCCTGCACAGCTGTGTTATAATGTGTCTCAGCAAAGGGAAAGCACGTGGCATCCCTGAGTGACCCACTGCCACTGTGGGAATGGTGTTGGGGCTGCAGCTGACAAAAAAGGGAGGGAAGGGCAGGAAAGAGAGAAGCATCCTCCTCCCCAGCATCACTCCAGTTAAGTCCTCCAAGAGGACTTTTGTAACATGCTTTGACTCCTGTTGGGCAAGGCAGGGGCTGAGTTCCCCCACTGTGTGATGGTCTGCATTGCTGCGTTTGCTGCGATGTTGCCTGAGCACAGCCGGGAACTGGTCTTGGAGAGTGAGGAGGGATGGAATACTGTTCTCCTTTCTGTGCAGCTGTTGTTTCGGTTTCGTGGCAGAGCCGTGCAACGTGGGATCATAGAATCACAGAACCATAGGCTGGGTTGAAAAGGACCACAATGCTCATCCAGTTCCAACCCCCTGCTGTGTGCAGGGTCACCAACCACCAGACCAGGCTGCCCAGAGCCACATCCAGCCTGGCCTTGAATGCCTGCAGGGATGGGGCATCCACAAGGATCCCATCCACGGGGATCACCGGTCTGATGTCTGCAGAGGGCTGCGCTCTGCTCCTGGTGGCAGTGCACTCCAGAGGGATGTGCACAGCCCTCAGTACAGTCCTGAACTCAGTCTGCAGACCCAGGCTCAAGCCTGGAACCATGACATTATTCCATCCCCATGACATGTCCTGGGCTGAAGGGTTCCCCTCTGCTGAAGCTCTGAACCTGAGAGCAGTGCCTTTGCAGAGCTGTGGGAAGAAGATGAACTTTTGACTCCTTCTGAGTAATCCTGGGAGCTGCTATCCCTCCTGAACAGCATTGCCAGCCTGTTTCCTCTCCCTTCACTTCTGTGAGTTCATCTGACCCCAAATCCAGCAAACCCAGCACTCGCTGTGTGCTTTAACCACCGCCTTTGGGGTTTGTAGTGCATGCCAAAGCCTGGAGGTACTGGAAGCTGTGGCACGATGCCTGGGAGGGGAAAGGAGGTCAGTGTGTTGCAGCATCCCCAAAGCAAACTGGCTGCAGAAAAGGGGCACCGTGACAGCAGGAAGTCCAGTGTTTGCTGTCCAAATATCAGCCAGATTGTTTGGGGATGGTCTGCAAGGAGCTGCACTGCCAGGAATAGAGCATGGTCACAGGGAGTGCACTTCTGGTGGCCTCACTCCTTGTCACCGTGTGTCCCAGTGCTGTCCCCATGCTGTCACCGCTGGGTGACACTGCCAGTCAGAGCACATGGGAGGGAGCTGCAGCATTCCTGTGGGATTAACCCAGAGGAACACGAGAAAGCATAACCCCACATGGCTTGAAAGCTGCACACCCTGGTATGTATGGTTTTCCAGCAGATCTGCCATAGGAGTGTCCCATGCCTGGGCCATGACATGGTGCTGGAGAGCTCTGAAAACTCTGCCTCTGTGCAGACTGCAGCATGAATGTGGGTCTGTGCATGGAACGGCATCTCCCTGACCTCCCTGGCAATGCTTGGATGGGTGAAGCTACACGCCTGGCTTTGCTTTTTGCACTATCCAGCTCACAGCAAGGCTGGCTGAGCTGCTCTGCTGTTGTGAGGGGTAAGAGATTTGCAAGAGCCATCACAGGAGCTGCACTACAACAACACCCCATAGCAGCACATTGCCAGGCAAAATCACAGTCACAGTGTAGCTCAGATTTTATGGTCCTTAGGATTGCATTTATTTACAAACACATGGAGTGTTGTGGCTTTTATCTCAGTCCCCAGGGTAGAACAGCCCGTAGGGCTCCTGTGGAGGTTGCTCAAGGTGCTCAGCTTGGCTGCAGAGGGTTTGCTTCTTACGGCCAGGGCGTTTACAAACATCAGAACTGCAATGAGTTGTTTTGAAGACTTGCAGTGTAAAAACCCCATCCTGCTGTGCTGGGGTCCACAGATGAGGTGTGAGGCGTGAGGTGGGGCAACGCAGGGTGCAGGGGGAGGCAAAAGATGTGGGGATGTGGTTCTGGCTGCACCGCTTCCCCACCATGAGCATGCGCTCCTTAATGGACTGCAATGGTTGGGCTGCTGCTCAGCTTCAGATTCCTGCTCTGCCTCCTGGTCTGTGTGATGTGTTTGTCTTTTCAAAATAGACAAGATTTCTGTGGATGTCGGATTTCTGTGGATGAAAGCTTTGCCTGGCTTTGGTTGCTGATGCTCTGCATGCAGCAGTCACGCTCCCACCCAGGCACTGTGCTCACGGATCTCTGCAGGGCGCTTCCATCCCTTTGCACTGCAAGAGCTTCTCGGTAGGTTGTGCATGGATGTGCATGGGAAGGATGGAAGCTCAAGCAAGAAAAGGGAGTTATTTGCCTATTGCTTAGGGCTGCAAAGGGTTAACTCTGCCGTGCTCATAGTGCTGTGGAAGTTGAGCAATCTTGTCTTTATTACGGAAAGTCAGACTGGGAATTAGGAAGGAGACTCCAGCCAGCCAGGGAGCTTTCCCAGAGGTTTGGAGCCTGAGCACTGACTCCAAGTGGCGATGCCAGAATTTCTTTCAGGGGCCTCTGGAACAAAGAGGAGAGTGGGCTGGGCTTTTGAACCGCCCCACAGCTCCTCGTGGCTCCCATTGCTGTGCCGCGTGCCCCCCAAGCGCGGGGCTCACAGAGCTCCCATTGTTCCCAGCGCTGCTTCCTCTTCTGCAGCCCTGGAAGCGGCAGCGCCCATTTCTTGTCACCGCCCTCCTCGTGGCTGCAGATCTGAAGCCCCCCCCGAAAATGCTCAGTGCCCCAGAGCACAAAATCTGCCAAAGCGATGGCTTATGGCTGGGTGCTGGGGAGCGGGGAGGGCTACTCTGCTGGAGCTCTTAATGATTGGAGAGACAGAGGTTTCGCATTCATTTGGGTTGGGTTTTTGGAGGCAGTCAGGTTTTAAGGTCCATCCCTGCTTTGTCCCAGGGCTTGCTGCTGCTGCTATGGAGGGCATGAGAACAGGGCATTTATTTTCTATTTGTCTTCAGTCTTTTGTGCAAAGCCTGTCCTGAAGTGACCTTAGGGCTGTGCCTCTTTAGGGAGACGTGGTGACTCCAAGCACACTTGGAAGGGCTGTTTTCCCCTTGGTGCCGGTTGGGTGAGGTGGGGAATTGCCTGTGGGCTGCACCATGCGAGGGTGCTGATGGGAACCTTGAGCTGCTGTGTCAGGGCTGGTCCTGCCGGGCATTGCACAGAGCAGACGTCAGCTTTCCTCCCCATCCTGGCAGTTGTGCAGCAGCAGATCAGCTGCCTGAGGAGGACAGGCTGTTCTCCAGCGCAGGGTGGGAGCAGCTTTGGGATGAGCATCCTGCTGGGGTTGTGGGGGGGTCAGATAGCAGGCTTGTCCTTAGCAAACCTGGGGAGATCTCTGTGTCTTTGCCATGATGAAATGGAGGAGATCTTCACGTGCTGTGTCTGCAGTGCTCGTATGCCTGGCTGTTTCAGGGCTGGTCCAGGGCCAGGTGTGAACCCGGTGCATCTCAAGGCTCTGCTCCTCTGCCATGAGGGCCTCTTGGGGACAAATGGTGGCAGCCTGGGGACAGAAAACATCGGAGAGTCGGACAGTGGATCCACATGTGAACATCTTGTCCTCTGTGTCCCGCTTTGTCCTGCACTGTGGAGCACGGCCCATTGCGTCTCCAAGGGGAAAAAATGCCCAGAAATTCCACAGACCCTTCAATGTCGTTTCTGTTCTGCAGTGAGACAAAAAAGCTCCCTTTGTGCAAAGGCTGAAAGAAATAGCCCAATCCCACAACGTTCCCAAAGCCTTAATGTCAACTATTTGCCTCCTTGTGCTTGCACATCAACAAGCATTCTCCTGCCTGTGCATTCTGGCTGCTCGCAGCTCGGTGTGCTTGGGCACGCTGGAAACAAGGGCAGGAGACTGGGAGGATGCAGTGCCTGCTGGCTGGAGCAACTCTGCTTTCTGGTTCTTATATTCCACTGACAGTTCTTCAGAGCTTGCTGCTATTTGCTTCTGGACAATCAATTTGCCCCATGGTTCAGCCATGCACCCAGCGCACATTGGAGGCCATGGTTGGGCGCTCACCAGCTCCCAGAACAGAGAAACAGAACTCCTGTGCTGCAGTTTGGTCTTCCTGGGGTGTCCTGTGTTTCCAATCCCCATCCTGTTGCTTCCTTCCTCCCCCAGACCTATCAGAGCCCATGATCATCTCTTTCCATCTCAGTTGCACAGCTTCCCCCTTCTGATGCTTGGGGAGGAGTTTGGGTTGGAAGGACTTCATGGTGAATTTCAAAGAGTGAAGTCAGATGAATGAATAAAGGGTGGTTTTGTTGCTCTTATCCTTTCATCAGCTTTGTTTGGGTTCCAGCAGTTCTTTCTGCGGCTGCTGCTCCATCTGGCTCCTCATGGAGGGGTCACATTAAGATCCTGCTGAAGATGAGTGAGTTGCTGAGGGCTGAAGCTGATGTCTGGCAAGGTAGAACTCATTTCTCTCTGCGTTGCTTAAACAGAGAGCTGAAATATCTTTGGTGAGGAACCCATAAGGCAGGAAATTCCTGTCCCCCAGTGATGCAGGCTGAGCTAAGGGACTGTAAAACACAGCAGGACAATGTGCCTGATGGGGTCTGTTGGTGTTCCTGAAGGGGTGGAGGTCCCCCACCCTGGGACCTAGGAAAGTGGAAGGGATTGGCACAGCATTGAAATGATGGCACTGAGCAGTCTGCAGAGATTGAGGTTTGCTCAGATCCTGGGCATTTACCAGTCCATCAGTGACTTCTTCCAGGGGGAAATCTAATACGAAGGGGATGTCTTCCCAATCCCATGTAGCAATAAATGGGAAAGCCTTGCAGTTACAGTAAGCTTTGGTTTAACACTTGCTGGCAACAGAGGCCAAGCACAGTCAGATGAAAACAAGATTCTCATCCCGTTAGGGAAATCAGCTGCTGATGTCTTCCCAGTTGAGATAAGCATTTAGTGCTATACTTCAAAGACAACGTGACCTCCACCTCACATGCTGTGCAGGTGAGACCCTTACCACCAACATTGGTTGCTGCAGGGAGACCTGTGTGTGGGTCCCCATGTGCACAGTGACCCCCCTGTGGCATCTGCTCCCTTCCCCACCCACCCTGGGGGGGGTCACCATGGGGGGATGGGGGTTACCATACCCTGGCTCCGAATGTGGGAACCACACGGCCAAAGACAAATGAATGGGAACCAGAGCCTGGGGCCTGTCAGCAGGGGCTGGCTTGGAAGCAAATGAAAGAAGAGAAGGGAAAAAATAATGAATTACTGCGAGCTTCTAAAAAACACAAAATAGCCGCTTTTTATTTCAGAGAATTCCCTTTGCAGCATGTAATTTCATTTCCCTGTCTGCTTTCACGGCATGCTGCGGGTGCTGTCAGAACAGCCTGATTTACACCACAACTCTGGCTGTTGCTCACGCGGGTCCCTCTAAATATAATGGTGTGAAAGCTGTCCCAGTGCCAGCAGTTCTTGCACGAGCTGCAGCGTGGAGCAGCGTTGGATGCTTTGTGGCATGGCTTTCAACAGGAGCAGCCCTCCCTCCTTCCACTCGGGAAATCTGTGCTCCTATTGCACTGAACATCTCAACCTTGTTGGCTTTATGTGCCTTGCTGGTGGTATCTGAGGGTCTGAATGGACGGGCTGAGCAACACCTAGCATGTGTTTGATGCGCTGGTTGATGAAGGCAAGGTGTGCTCTGAGCACCACCACGGCCAAGAGATTGTTCCCTGTTTAAAATTGGCCATGTATCCTAATTCTCATTACTTCAGTCCCAGTCTCTGGAGGACACTGCAGTGAATGTCCTCTGCAGTAGCTTGGAGGGTATGAAAAGAACTCCAGCTCTGGTTAGATAGGGATAATTAAAAACATCAATTAATTTTTAAAAATTCCTCATTGAATCCTGCTTTTGTGGGTGGGTTTTTCCAAAACATTTGCTCCCACCAATGAGGAGAGAATTACACTTCAAGGGGAAAAAGTTAAACTAACACAGGGTGTTTTTCCAGTCCTGTTCTAGGTATTACATCCTTTGGGGCCCTCTTTGGAAGCCGTTCAGGTGGGGGATATTTTAGCTTTCTGTTCTGGAGTTGAGACTTTCAGCAAAAGTGCATAAAGTTTAATGCTTCCAGGGTGAGTGCTGGCACAAGCACAGGGAAGCGTCCAGCTGGCAGGAGGTGCAGGAGAGGTGCCTGGTGCCCCTGACCCTTTGGTCTCGTAATTGGCATTTTTAGTCATTTTATGACCTTGCTTCTTTGTTCAGATTATGTCTATCTATCTATTGGTTGGGTGCTGGGAGCTGGTGAGTTTGGATGTGTTTGTAGTTGGTGGGGCACAGCTGGAGGCAGGATGGGATGTGATGGAAAGCCTGTGGGATGGAAAGCTCACTGCTTTGGCTGCATGCTGCTGTGGAGCTAGGCTGGCACTGGGGCAGAGAGGAGAGCTGGAGCTCTTCCCCTGGAGCAACTCCCAATGGATTTCTCGGCTTCTGATAAATCCCAGCCTATGATGCCCACACTGACCCTCCCTTGGCAGCGGGGTCAGCCAGCTGTGCCAGCACAGCCCTGCAGGTGGGTCTCGCTATGAAGCAAAGGAGCTGCTCTTCCCAGAGGGCTTCCAGGGATGTTGTGAGCTTTTCTCCCCACGTTCCACAATCTCTCCCAGGCCGGTAGCCAAGTACGAGTCGTAAATAACCAACAGTGGCTGAGGACAATCCCATCTTGTTTTGCTGTGAGGTTCAGCTCTAGGCTCTCCTTTGGCTTCACCTCTCCAACCTCCTTCTGTGAGCCCATGATCTGTGCTGGCTGCTCCCCACTGGAAACGCTCCGAGCCTGGAGCAAAGGGTTACAACCTCTGAGAGCTGCATCACCATGGACATCGGAGGGACACGAACCATCCTAGCTTATCAAAACAAACACATCATATTGGCACAGAGCGTGCCACCCTCCAACAGCCCATAGCTCAGAACCGGGCTGGGTTTGGCACAGCATTCCCCAGCTGTGGAGCAGAGTGTGCGCAGCATAGGTATGGAACAGCAGAACATTATAACAACAGCACTTCAGTGAGACTATTTTGGTTTTTTTTTGGCGATGGAAACTTTTTCCTGCTGCCACGTCAGACTTCTCCTATTTATAAGAGCCTGTGGGGCTGCTCGGGGCCCGGCCGGGGGTGTGGGGCTCATCCCCACCGTACAGAGCGCCGCAGGATGCGGCTTGGGGCAGGACCACTAAAAATACACTTTCCCCCCTTCCTGTCCCTATGGTTTTGGCAGAGGATAATCCAAAGCGGCTCACTTTAAATGCTCTCACTTCTCAGAGCTCCAAGCTGCTTTAATTTGTACCAGCAGTGCGTGGCAGGGCTTGGGGAAGTGCATGCAGCTCTGTTCCCTACCATCCCCATTCCTGAGCACTCTGCTGTTGTTCAGACGAGGACTGGAGTATTGCAGCACAGCGTCAGAGCCCAAGCATGCCCAAGTTTATCTTTTTTTTATTGGGTGCAGCTTGCTTATTAAAACTGACCCCTGGCAGGAGGGGGGAGGCAGAATCTGCCCCAGTTACAGAAAATAAAAAGGCGGCCTTGCTCTGCACCAGGACCACAACCACCCGCAGTCACCGCTTGTCCCTGCGTGGTCTGAGGTCAGTGGAGTGACCACCTCTGTTCGTCCTTTGTATCTGAGCTTGCTGCTCAGAGCTCACAGCAGAACCACGGCACAGGGTTTGTCCCTTGGCAGATCTGGCTCTCCAGGGCAGTCCTGGTCAGCAGGGTTCCTGGTGTCCATCTCATAATGACTGCTTGTGCTCAGCCCACTCATGTTTATGGCTGGATGACTCAGTTACAAGCACACTGAGTGCTGCCCTAGGCCAAGGTGAGGTGCTAGAGTCAGGCAGGAAGTTCTGCTCTTGGGTGATGTGATTTTTAAACGATTGATGGAACCTGAGGGAGAACAAGCTGGTTTTATGAAAGATCTGTGTAAAAATATTGACACCAGTGATCTGATTGGTGATGATCCTCAGCTCCCTTCCTCATTCCCTTGGGATTTTCTGTGATGTGTTTTCCCTTGGGCAGGCATCTCCATAGGACCGTAGTGAGGCTTGCATTGCAAGGGACTTCAAAGATCATCCAGTTCCAACCCCCTGCCATGAGCAGAACTTCCAACCACTAAACAGCTTTTAAAGGTCCCTTCCAACTCAAATGATTCTATGATGCTAGATTAGGCTGCCCACGGCCCAATCCAACCTCATCTCGAACACCTCCAACGATGAGATACCCAGAGATTTTTTGGACAACCTCTTCAAATGACTCACCATTCTCTAAGTAAAGATTTTTTTCCTAACATCTAACCTAAATCTGCCCTCTTCTAGTTGAAAGCTGTTTCCCCTTGTCCTATCACTGTCAGACTATGTGAAAAAATCTTCCAGGGAAGACTTGCTCTGATCCCCCAGCCATTTCTGACAGTGCTACAGCCATAGCACAGCCCTTGCTGATCCGAGTGTGGCCTCCATCTCCTTGATGGCAATGGAGGCACCTTTCATTGGAGGCATCCTCTAACTAGAGGCATCATTCACTACTGAGACATCCTCCACTGGAGGCATCCTTCATGGAGGCACCCTTCCTCATGCACCTTCCACAGGAGGGAGGAAGCCAGGAGGTCCCATCTGTGGCCATGCTCTCACCATGTCTCTTTTTTTGGCTTCCAGAGCACACCCAGCCCTCAGCCAACGTGGGCCTGCCTGGCCACCTGCTCCAGTGCCACCTGCCCCAGTGCCACCGCACATACCCTGCCTACACCACATACACGGCCCCGGTGGTGAAGATGCTCATGGAGCAGGATGGGAGGAGAAGGCACACAGCCACCCGTCCCGTGGCCACTGAGCAGAGCACAGCATCACCAGGAGCTGCCACTGCAGGGACGCCCTCATTGACATCCACAGCGAGTGGAGGAAGCAGCTGTGAAGGTGCGGAGGGCTCTGTGGGGAAGGCAGTGCCCAAGAGCAGCTTGCCACCACCAAGTATTTGCAGCAGGGTTATCTTTGCCAGAAAGGCTCCGCTGCGTGTGGCACCATGCAGCAAGAAGAAATGAGACCTGTGTAGCTGGGAACAAACAGAACAAGGAGAATCTCCACTGGTTTCCCGAGTGCATTAAACTACAAATGAAAACAGCACTCTCAGCTTTCAGAGCCTTTCCCTCAAAGCCCCATGGGAACAAAAGATAAGCACAGAAGGGGGTGATGCTGCATTTTGCAATTGTCTGGAGAAAACTCAGCCCTACAGCCAGGCAGGGCAGGGCAGGTCAAGATGGAGACGCGGATGCCTGTGTGCCCACGCAGCCTGGAACACAGAGCCCCGTTCTCTGCTCCACTACAGCTCATCCCCCTGCTGGCACTGCAGCTTTGCATGCCTCTGGTAGGGGCTGGGATGGGGGTAACAGCCCTGGGGGCTTCTGTGCATCCCTGTCTGCATCCCAGTGAGATGTGGGGCTGCTGTGCAGAAGATGCACCGAGCAAATCTGTGCCCCACTCTCTTCTTGGAGCACAGAACAGAAGGGAGCAGGGCTGACTGCTGACAGTGAGGGCTTGTCTTTGCACTTACCAAATGTAAGCATGTATATGCTTTCATACACACACGTATAGGTACCTCCATGCACAAATGAATCAAAAGCAAAGCCGCTGCAAAGCTGAGTGTGCAGCAGGTGGACGAGCTGCTTTCCTTTCTCCCTCACAGCTGATGTTGTCTCTGATGACAGAGATTGCTAAGGTCGGAAATGCAATGTGAGATGTGCTGTGTGTTGCTGTCCAGATCTTTCTGTATTCATGCTTCAACAGCTCCATCTCTACAGCATGACTGATGCTTCAGTACCAGGCATGTCAAAGCTGCTGGAAAAATGCTCTGAGGGAGCAGCTTCCTGCAGCACTATGGCTGGATGTAGAAAAGCATCGAGGGACTTAATGGTTTTACCAAAAGCAATAGTTGGAAATGCGTTGTATCTTCAGCAAAGGTAGAAGTGCTTCCTCTCTATCAGTGAAGGAGTTAGGACAAACTGGGAACAGGTGAATAAACAAGTTGTGAAAAGCACTCATAAGGAAGAAAATGAAAACAGAAACCGTGCTGGCTTGGGCAATCCTTAATGTGAGTTTTTCAGTAACTTCTCTTTATGGGAAATCCTGGCTTTTCTGTTGTTGCTGTGGGACCACTCCAGAGCTGTGTTTTCTCAGAATGGTAATTCTAGATTTCAGCTTGTTCTGCCCACCCCCTTTAGAAAAGTTCTCTGAGGGCTTTATTTAGCTCTGGATGAAACCCATGGGTGCTATTTTGGAGCCCACTGTGTGGTGTCAGAGAGCCCTGGGCTGCAGTGTGCAGGTGGCAGCATGCAGGTGGTGAGCAGCATGATCCAGCCGTGATGTCTGCCATGCTGAAACCCAACAAGTGATGTCACCTGGGTGGGCAGGGACTGGCTGCACAAAGGGTGCAGCAGTGCCCCGCACCCATCACTTCCCTGGGGTCCTCTGGGGACGACCACACATGAGATCATAGGCCAGCAGCACAGCGTTGGATGCAGCCCAAGGGAACACCGGGGGTCTGAGATGGGAGGAGCAATGGGGCAATGTGGAGAGGAGGGGTGGAACCGACCCCCCTGCTGCTGTAGACAGACCCAGCAGCACCCACACTGTTAGGATAATATACAAGTGGGGGCCCAGAGCTAATCGCAGCTCTAAATGACTCCTATTATGCTGCGGCTGCTGCTCGCCTGCTGTATTGAAACCAGATGCTGAGATCGTTGAATAGAGACAAACCAGGTGCCGACTGCCTCGCTTAAGCCAAACACAGAGTGATTTCCTGCAGGAGCAGCATTGTGTGTACGTGGTGTCATCCAGGAGCAGGAGGAGAGAGCTGTGGGGAATGGTGGCTGTATGGCTTTGGGACCCCTCCATCCATCCTTCAGGGCTACAAAACTGCTTTTCTCCCTCCTCTGGCACTGCTGCATGGTGCAGTTGTGCCGCTCTGGGGCTCAGCAATGGCTCGGTGTCAGTAGGAGCCTGGTATGATGTCAATGTTTCGAGTGGGTGAAGCAGAGGAGGCAAAAATAGACATTTAGACATTTTTCCACTTATGCCTTTTTTGAAAAGGAGTATTTATAGCTCGGCACACAAACACAGGAGCTTTGTGAACCCGTCACCCATCGCGCCGCGGTGCTCAGCCTGCGTGCTGCCCTGTGGATCTGCTCAGGGCACCCCAGGGTGCTTGAGGATGGATCACCTGCAGCAATCTGCAGTGTGAGCTGTGAATTTGCTGTTAACTCTGAAGCCTAATGAGGGCTGCAGTGTTTTCCCCAGCTCACCCACTGCTGGGTGCTGAAGGGCCGAATCACTGCATTTTGCTTCATGGCCCTCTCTGTGCAAGTTGGTAACGCTGTTAAATCAGTTTTAAGGTTGGAAATGCAGTTCTACCCCCAGAACTGACCTGCTCAAGGGAAGGAAACAGTCGCTTTTGCTGTGTTCCCATCTGCACTGAAGCTCAGGACCTTTTGCACATCACAACGGTGGAGATTGTAGGAAGGAGAACCCAGATGCCATAATTTCTGTCTTCCTAAGTTGGTCTTTCATCTGTTTCCTCTCACTCCTTGTCCCCCTAATTTCCCTTCTACAGTTGAGCTGCTTGCTAGCACAGCAAGGGCACGAGCCAGGCTGAGACACTGCTGGAGGTTCCCCAGCTCACAGCTGAGGGCAAATCCCTGCACCTCACACTCTCAGTTCAGGGATTGCTGCCTTTGGGTGCTGTCTTCAGAGGGAAGCACTGACTTCCCTGAGCCTCCCCTTGGTCCTGCAATGGGAACTTACTGTGCAAAAGCCAGAGCTGAACAAAGGATTTAGGCACTTTCCTCGTCATGGAAATTCCTTACTGGCCAAGTGAAAACAGAAGGTGTTTTCCTAAAGTTTTCTTGGTGCACAGTAGGTGCTTTCTTAAAGACCCAACAGTTCCTTGTTAGAAATCCGAAAACCACAAACTGATTTTGGTTTGGTTCTGACCACAGATTTTCAGTTTTTAAATACATAAGATAAAAGATCTCTCCAGTCAGCTCTCCCAGGGAAGGTGAGCTATGCTGTCTCATAGGACCTTTGCTGTACTGGCATGAGGCTGCCTTCCTCAGGCAGGATAGCACTGCCAATAAGCAATGCCTGCTCGAGAAAGTACTGGTCACCTGTGGCAAGCCTTGGCAGTCCCTGCAGGACTCCTGCTTGGTGGGGTTGCACGCAGAGCTCCTGGGAGCACACAGGGCTGCACATCCTCCGTTGTGAAAAGGTTTTTCCCCTCGTGCTGGTTCCCTTTTTGCAGCCTCAGGAGATGGATGGCATTCCAGCTGCCCACAGGAATTATCAGCTGAAGGCAGCCAGAAGGCTGAGGAGTTTATGAAAACGCATGTGCCTGCCTGCCATCGCATCCTACGCTTGTTGCTGCAGAGCAGAAAGGAGCTCCTCATGTGTTATGTCTGCTTTATTCCTTCATGTTCTTCCTGCAAAGATTACTTGACTCTACAGGCCCTTCAAGAGTGCATTAAGTGCTTGAAAAAGACACTGCTAGTCTTTCTTGCAAAATGCAGCAGGTGGCAAGCCATGTGGGTGTTCATCAGAAGGTACCATCCGGAGGCACAAAGGAGGGCAAAGGGAACAGGTCCTGCTGCTCTCCACCTGCAGCCCTGCCCCACAAACTTGGTTACCTCATCACAACACAGCATGAACTGCACTGGGAGCTACCAGCCCGGCACATAGACCAGGACCCGTGTGCACCTCTGCACCACTGAGCCCTGTGGGTCTGCGTTGCAGCAGATCTACTGTGATACTCATCGCATCACTCCTCTGTTTTCCTTCTAACCGAGCCCAGACCCAGCAGCACATTTCCTGGAAGATGCTTTGGCTCTCTCCACACATTAAATTACCGTTGATGTCTCAGAGCTGGAAGCAGTGTCTGCTATTAGCTGGTGCTGTTAGCAGGGCCATGGGGAGCTCAGCATGGTGGAGCTGAATGTATGCTTAGAGAACAGAAACTCTCTGTGGCCGCCCAAGCTGATCTGGGCTGCTGGCCAGACTCCTTCAGGGGGATTAATGGAAAGTACAATGATGATAATGAGAGCTATCCTTTCCAATGGAGAGCTAATCCACAGTGAGCAGAGCTCGAGACTTGCTGATTCACTCCCTGATGGATAAACAGGGATGCTCCCATGTCTAGTTGAAATGATGAGTGCAGGGAAAGGTGCTGCTGTGGATCGTGGAGGGGCCATGTGGATCTGTCAGCACACCTAACTGACACTCTTACATTGTAGGTTAGCATGGGGGAATGCATCCATCTTGTGCAGGCTGCTCCAAATGGTCTCTGGAAATGCAGAGGTGGAAGCCTGCAGCATGCAAATTCTACTTTCCCCATGGTGATGCAGTAGGGCAGGTGAGAGGCATGCTTTCCCCTTTTGGAACTGATTTCCACCCATTAAAGAAGTTTTGTGGTGACAGTGGTGGGTTGAGGAGCTGAGTTGGTTCCTGCCTTGGTGGTTCCTCAACTGGTGTCAGCGTGGCTGGGCAGAAACAAACCTGGGCTTGGCAGAGGTGGTTGGCATTCAGCTCATGTCTGTGCAGAGGTCATTGCTGGGACGTGGGCAGAGGCAGCAGCTCGGTGTCTGTTGGGGAATGCTCAGGGTCAGAACAGAGAAGGGCTGTTGGTTTGGGGCTGGATGGGAAATCAGGAACATTCCCAAAGCCAGAAACACACCTGGAGTCATTTCCAACACTGCTTCACTGCCACAGAGCATGTTTCAAAGCATGTTTGGAGGACTGTTTTCTCTCACGGTGTCCAACAACATGTGATTTTTGACCTAAAGTTCTGTTTTAGAAAGGGAAAAAAAATAGTTTAAGGCAAAGCTCATTGGGAAGCTCTCCAGTGCAGGCGGCCGTGGGGGGATTCCTGTTCAGGCTGTGCTCAGCTCAGTAAGTGGGCTGTGAATTTTCACATAGAAATGAACACCACCCCAAAATGTGTCCAGACTGCGTTATTAAGACGCACCAACAAGAGCCAGGTTCCTTTTTGATGCCCCAAGAAGCACTAAGTCAATGCGTGCAGGAAGTGCTGGTTTCCAACAGTCAGCACATCTCTCTGTGCCTCATATCTGTTTATCTCC